CATTTATTCATTGTGTTCTCTCTTTCACTTTGGTGTTTATACAGTGCTTCTATGGTTTCCTTTATTTCTTCTTTTGCTTTTTCAAATTCTCTATTTTTGTTGTCTTGGAATTTCTTGAGTGTCTCCTGTACATTTTGGTTGACCCTATCCAGTATCATCTCTATAAAATTCTCATTGAGTACTTGTAGTATGTCTTCTTTTAAATTATTCTTGTGGGCTTCATTGGGTCCTTTGGCATAGTTTATCTTCATTTTGTTGGAGTCTGGATCTGAGTCTGTTCTCTTCATTCCCCTCTGGTTCCTGTACTAATTTTTTGCTGTGGGGAAACTGGTTTCCCTGTTTTTTCTGTCTTTCCGTCATTGTCTTTGGTGTTGTTACTGTCCCTGTACTGTGTGCAATTAAGTATTTTCTAGCTTGTAATAATAACAATGGTAATATTTAGAATGGAAGGGTGAGCTGAGATGGAAAGCAAGAAGTTAAAGAAAAGGGGAAAACAAATATACAGACAAGAGGGAGAAAGCAGAACAAGGTATCAGACAAGAGAGTTTCAAAGGTATAAACAGGGAGTGTTAGTGTACTAATCGACAGTAAGCTGAACAGACATTAGAGAGACAGAGAGAGGATTGAAAATCAAAGATAAAAAAATGAAAAATAAGTAAATGAAAGAAATATCTATATATAAAAATGAATTAAAATAAAATGGAAAATAGAAAAAAAAAAAAAACCAAAAAACTTCCAAGTTTATATGCAATGCAGTTTCAGTCTTAATAATTTGGGTGTCTGTCTCAATCTCCAGTCCTGGAGTTGGTGCCTCAGATGTTGTTCTGTAGTTGTCTCATCAAAGGGGATGCATAAAGTAGAACAAAACTACACACACACACACACACACACACACACACACACACACACAAAGCCCCACCAAGTGTCCCAAGTTCAAATGCAATACAGTTTCAGTAAGTTTTTCAGCTTGCAGGTGTAATTCGGTTGTTCTCTCATCAAAGGTAGGGAGAAAAAGAAAAAAAAGCGTCTGGAGACAGTTCTGAGAGTGGTATCTGCAACTGTGGCTTGCCTGCCAGATGCTGTCAGCCTGTAGCTGGTGGCGTTATTTATGCAGATCTCTGGGGTGAACTTAGCATTCACCTGGTCCCACAGGCTTTGTTTGTTTCAGAGTTCTCCTGTGCAGGAGCCTATGCTACAGGCTTTCCCCTTTCCAAGCACTGGGAAAGGTGACACTGCCCCCACGTTGTCAGGCCTGCGTGTTTATTTATAGTTCATGTGGGAGGTGGGTCTTCCCCCCTCTCCTCTGAAGTTTTCCTCCCACTGCCACTTTCAGAAGTTTTCCTGCTCCTGCTTACTGGGCAGTGCTGCTGCTCCTGCCGGCAGCCATGTTTATTTACAGTTCACATGGGAAGTGGGTCTTCCCTCCTCTCCTGTGGAGTTTTCCTCCCTCCTCCACTCTCACAAGCTTCCCTGCTCCTGGTTGCTGGGTGCGCACCCTGCTCCAGCCAGAGGCTCTCCGGCCGCCCAGCTTGTTTATTTACAGTCCCGGGAAGGATTCCCTTCCCCCAATCTTCAGCGCTCAGGGCGCCCCACCCTCTTTCCAGCGTGTCTTAACTGTTCTTGTTGCTTATTACTCAGTTTCTCTTTTTTTCCCGGGTGGAGGTCAGTCTGTCCAGGGGGCTATGCTGCTCTGGCCAAGGCTTGTCTGTGGGGGTACTGCGGTACCGCGAAGCTCACCTGGTCCGCGTCTTCCCAAGCCATATGGATGCCGGCCACTGGTGGCCCTGGGGGCCCTCCTCGTTTCTCCGTTTAACGTGAAGTGGAGATTCTCTGCACCGGCTGGAGATGTGGAGGGGTCAAAGTTATTCCTTTTCTCAGTGATTATGCCTGCAAAGTGTGTCTCCAGCATCTCTCCAAGATTTCACTATAGGAGGGTCGTTTTCTGCTTCCTACCTCTAGCCGCCATCTTGGAATCCAGCTTTTTTTATTTTCATAGTGCTGAGTTTGCAGGCCGAGTGAAAAATATGTATATTCACACTAATGAACTCTTACATAGAGTTAACTATATGACAGAAATTCTACTAAGCAATATATGAATATTTTTTAATCCTCATAATAACCCTATGGGTTATCCCCCATTTAAAGGTAAGGAAACTGAGGAATGGAGGGGTTAAGTACTGTGCTCAAAAACCACATTACAGGTAGAGGATGGGGTTGGGACACCCCTGCAGGTAGTGGGCTCCACAGAATGTGTTCCTATTCCTTACAATATGGAGGTAATCAATGTAAAACATCTAGTATTAAAAAATAAATGCCTGTCTTAAATTGCTTAAATTGATATAAAATTGAATATTCAAGAGCCTAGACAACATGAAAAGCTAACTCAGGCTGTTTCCTCTACAAGTTCAACACTCAAGTTCTCACAAAAGCAATAAAGAATTAAATTTAAAACTTGGATACCTCTGGAGAAATAGAAGACATCTGAATTCTAGTTTGAGAGGAAAAAAGCAGTGCATAAGTGGATTCTGTTTTCATCACTTCAAAGTAAGTGAAGGTGAGTTGGTAGCATGGCAGCGCCAGCCTGGCAAGTGTGAAGCCCTGAGTTCAAACCCCGATGCCACCAAAAAAAAAAAAAGGAAAATATATTTATTTTAATAGAAATACAGTAATATTATGAAAAACAGTTCACATTAAGGAGAGGTCACATACAAGAAGGGAAAGAAGGGTAAAAGAATGAAGTTAAGAAGGTGAATATGGTTGATGTACTCTCTACACAGAATGAACCTGCGAAACCACCATAAAAAAGGGACTAAGGTAGAAAGAAAAAAAATAGAGATGAACCAGTTTAGGCTACAATGCATATATACATGGAAGTGCCACAAGGAAACTCCCCATGTAGCTATCTTAGACAAGCAAAAATGACATTATTTTTCTTTTACAAAATCAGAGAATAGGAGGGCAGAACAGGTCTTACCTAGGGGGGCTGATACCAGTGAGAGGGGGGAAGAGGTGGGTAAATAGTGTAGGAGAGTGAATATAGTGCAAATACTGTAAATACAGGCATGTAAATGAAAAAATGATACCTGTTGAAACTATTCCAGGATTGGGGGAGAGGAAGATAAAGAAGAAACATGGAGGGAGTAAATTCAAGTGTAATATATTTGATATATCATAAGAACTTTTGTAAATGGCACAGTGTACTCCCACCCAGCACAACAATAGATAAATAAATAAATAAATGTGCTTTTTAGAATGTTTTTTAAAAAGTAGGTAAAAGTGAGGCCTTGTCTCTCTCTGGTTTATTCTTCTTCACTCTTTGCACATTAATAGCATAAAAGAAGACAGCAGGAATAATTTTCTTTCTCAGTGTTGGGTATGGAATATTTCAATAAATATTTAATGAATAAAAGAAGATATTGGGGAGGGAAAATGATGGAGACAAAGTAATGACCTCAGGTGGCTTGCGCATTCTGGCTCTGACCAGTGATAAGCTTTGAGCTCTTTCATTAGGTTTTATGGACTCCTTTAGTGAAGCTCTGTCTTTGGTGCTGATCTTCTCTGATTCCTCCAAGTTTATGACTTCTTCACAGAAGAGTAGATAACTTGTGAGTCCTGGGAGGGACACACAGGACTAAGTGAGCAAGAGAAGGAACATGGAGCAGGAAGGAAAGATAGATCTTCCAAGAAGTCTAGCTTACCATGTTCTCTGAAAATGTCCTTCTGGCATTTGCTGTGGAGTTAAAAAAAAAAGGTACTGAGTTCTTAAGTTCCTACTTAGACCTCACTCCCATACTTCAAGCCCCAGGGCATAGACCTGCTGTGCTTAATGTTTGAAGTTCCAATTTTTCCAGTTCTGTAAAATCTGTCCTTTAATTTTGCTTAGTCTGCAGTTCCACTAAGACATCATTCATCCCCTAGTGCCCCCCCCACACACTTATTAACAAAGGTCTTCCTCTCTAATGCAATTTCCTAGAGGATATTGTCCTTTGGTTTCTGACCACTGCAATATTCTGTCAGGGTTCACGTTCCTGCCATTCTTCTATGTTTTGTAGATAACCAACCATGGGTGGGTCATCTTACCTTATAGAAAAAAGTTAGAGGAATAGATAAGAAAGGACAGATCTTGAGTCACAGAGCAGTTTGAGTTTAGCTGTAGGGTCCCTCAGTTATGTCTGCTCCTTTCATTCTTCTTTCTGGGCATGCATAGTGGGACTGAATTTTCTTTCCTCCACTAACTGAGAGCAACACCTAGAAGACCTGGAAGAACAGCATCCAGCAGACTACTGCTCCTTTTTTATTCTGCTAGGCTGGTCATAGTCAGAGAAGAAGAATTGATGCACAGTCAGATGTCTATAGCAAGCTCCACTGGCACAACTCTAAGCAAGATTAAAAGAGGACCTAGATTCATGGGCTCAGGGGAGTAAGGTTAGATGACCACTGACCAGGAAATTGGCTGAGTTATCAACAGTCACTGGTTCTATCAGAGGTAGCTGGGAGCACAGAGCAAAGGGCAGACTTCAGGGTTGCAGTTTTCAGCACACTGAGCAGCAGTTTGAAAGACAGCTTTGCACTGTTGCAGAAGTATTATCTCAGTTCTTGCAAAGCTACATGTCAAAATGACAATTCTCTGATCAGAATGACTCATTCAGTGACTTCTCTCATCCCTTGCTATGATTGCAGTTCCTCTGAAAGCAGCACAAGGAAGCAGTTTCAACTGACTTGAGATATTAGACTTTAAATACTTTAAGTCTGGCCTGATTTTCTCCCTTTGCCTTGTATCCCAGATGCTCCCTGAATGTCTAGTTCTATCCCAATGAAGACTCACTGGATATCTGCCTACTTCTTTAGCTCAGCTTTTCCACGAAAGCCTGTCTCCAGTTGTCTTTTGGTCCTTCTTTAATCATAACAAGGGCAAGTGATATATTGAAATCTCTGTTGCATACAACTCACCACTTTCTTGAGAAGATGCATCTGAGAGGAACCACTTTTTAGTTTCTTACCTGAGCTTTCTGGATGTTGGCTGGTCCAGACCTGGGAGTAAATCACATCCACACCTACAGGGTCCACTGCAAGAAGACAAGAATTTCCAATGTATATGGCTACATTCAAATTTCATGCACATCTTCCCAGTCCTCTGCTTCATGACAACATCCTCCCTTCCAGCCCTAATATGGTTTCAAGGAAAGCATTTGCTTATTGGAATGACTGAACCTTCTGAGGTTGGGGTGGCTAGACTACCTCAGGGTCTTTCTCCAGCTTCCTCTCTTGCATGTCTCAGTCCCAGAGACTGTCCCAGTAGGGAGACTCACCATTGACATACACTGGCTGAAGCTCCTCTATGGCTGGGATTGGGCTGGAGTGGGTAGATTCTTGAGGGTTTGGGACATCAGCACCTCTGTGAAACAGTGAACTTATTACATGGTAGTCTCTAGGGTAGTAGTGAGAACAGACAGGAAAGAGGTTGGGGAGAGAGTGAGTAAAAGCCACTTAAGTGATTCATGGCACTTTGCATAGACTGTCTACTTTGACTTGGCAAAAATTTTCTATTCCTTAACTTTGGCTTTTTCAAAAGTTATAAATAAGATAATAATTTGAGTTTGAGTAATAGATATTCAAAACTGTGAATGAGGGAGACCACTGAAGTTGAAATTTTGGCTGGGAATAGCTCTCACCTGGGTCCATTAGTGACAGAACTTGCTCCTGAAAAATAGGTAAAGGAACAGTCATTTCAGTGTAGCAAGATTTATCTCTTAAAGCCCATTACTATTCATATTGCGAATAAAGATATATTTATTGCTAGAAATTATCTAAAATCACTAAGAAGACTACCAAAAATTCAGTTCAAAATAATGAAATGTCATGAGCATAAAGCTCACTGAATAGAGATACACAAATCAAAACTACAAAGCACTAAAGTTTTTAAGTTAACAAGAAGTGCAAAAATAAAAAAACTTACAACATGCTGTGTGACTAGTATATCATGAATTAAGAACTTTCATATCCTTATAGGTGTATAATTTGAACCAAGCACTATGAATAGCACTTGACAGTATATATAAAACTATGAAGGTGCTGAAAAAATTCAGAAATGAACTAGACTTGAAAATACTGGGTAAAATATTTAGTACATGGAAAAAAGTTAACTGATGAGTTTTCAAATTTCCTTTCATTTAATGGTGGTAGACAAGTCTAAGGAAGTCTTTTTGTAAGAGCTTAAAAGTTCACATTGAGATTCTGATGTGCGCTGATGCTTTTTCTGTACCTGACATATTAAATCAGTAATATTTTACTGAAATAGGTGAAATGAGGGACGAAGAGTAAAGCCAGGAAGTGCAGCAAGGCCAATTTGAGGGTTTTGCAGGGTTTAGTCAGGTAGAATTGAATGCTGGTGTATGCTCTGCCCTCTGCTGGTTGTGTGAGCATGACAAACTTACCCAAGATTCTTAAGTGTGGATAATAATACACACTTAAAATTGTTCTTGATTATTACAGATAATCACACTTTATTTTTTTTATCTAATAATTGGTCATTGGTAATTTTTTGACAGATAGAGTACTAACAGAGATCACTATGAGAAATCATTTAGAGGAATTCTCTAAATTATTCATCTTAAAAATACATTACAGTGATACATAGTCATAATGAAATGACAAAAACACAGATGCTTTATGTTACATCTTTAGGAATGATTGATAAAGAAATTGGAACCAGTCCTTCTACGTATGACAACTAGGAGTGCTAAGGAAAATATGTTTTCAGAGGCATTGAGTCCAGTATAGTAGCCAAGTAGTTATATGACTGTCTTGTAATTATTTGGTAATAAGATAGTGAAAAAACACTGAGGCAAGGTTTGAGGACAGAGGCTCAGGACAATAAATCTGGCTCCTGGAATCAATTGTTCCATGGGACATTTGCCAGTTCCTGAGAGGGCAGCCTGAAGTCTTGTGGTTTTCCTGGTCTTGTGGGACTGAGGAATATGGATTGAGATTAACAATGGTGTATGTAGAAAATTTTTAAATGTGGCTGCAGATTCTTTGACATGTTTGCCCTTTAGAGGTAGATTCCATGATCCTCCCCTTATTCTGGGCCAAGCTTATGGAGGCACTAGTACAAGATAAAATGATGGTAGAAGTGATGCTGCAGCATAATTTTGAAATTAGTTGGTAAGAGATATTGAAGATTCGCTATCACACTTGCTTCTAAAGCCTGAGCCAACATGTAAAAAGTCTGTCTACTTTGAATTATCATGCTGTGAAAAGAAATAAAAGGCCACACTGAGAGGCCACGCACAGATGTGTGCTTTAGTTAACAATGTTGGCTAGGATTCCAACTTACAGCCAGCATCAGCCACCAGACATGTGGGTAATATTGGCTCCATAGAACACATATAGTGCATCCAAGAATTCAAAGAGGAGGCACTGCTCTTATTGAGAGTAGGGTGACAAATAAGAGATAAATAAATGAAAGCAAAAAATTTAGTTAAATTGTTTTAGATCCTTTAAATTTAGATCCTTATTATATCATACTTCACTGTGTATAAACTAATTATGCTTACTGAAAATTATTGAATTATAGTCAATATTTAGACTTTTAATTTAAAAGTTAAGCATGAAGAAATATGTTAATATTTTATTCACAAGTGAGAACATGGGATACTAATTGTTAAATTAGTAGCATGGCAGCATCACCCACCTTGTGGAAACTTACAGAGCTGGAAGCATAAGAAGTTATTGCATTTTGGAAGATTTGGTTTTTTTATTTTTTTCTTCTGTAAAAATAATCTATACAGTAATGGAAAAGGTCATAGCATTAAAGGGAAAACAAAAGAAATAGTAGATACCAACCTGATATTTTGTGGGACCAACAATAAAACAGCCAAGCAACACCAAAGAAACCAAGGATACCAAACAGTCCCCCGAGAATTCTGACTGTGACAAAGTCTCTTCTGTGACCATCAGAATCTGGGAGAAGAAACCAGTGCTTAAGTCACAGAATCTCTGTCAGTACTATGAAGGAATGGTAAATATAAATTCTTTTAAGAGATATTTAAATGTGGTCTGTACATTTCAAGATATAGGGAAGAAAAGAAGCAGCCAGACAATGAGAACTCCTTCTCTCCCCACACACAGCAGACATCACCCAGGACACCTCCTGTCTGCTAAAACCTCAAGTTTGTACCAATAAAGATAGGTGGGACAGAGCCACTGATCATAACACTTCATATCTAGGGACCACCAACTCACCTGAGATGGAGAATGACACTGCCTCACTGCGCTGGACCCACAGGCCATTGTTGGCCTCACAGGAGTAGTTTCCAGAATGTTTTGCAGTCAGGGAGAAGTTGAAGGACACTCCTCCTCCAGATGGAGCTGAGCTATTCCCCATGATGACATCCTCATGATAAAACTGGTACAGGATGGGGGGAGAGCCTCTCAGGGCCTCACAGTGAAGCTCCACCACATCCCCCACCACAGCCTGGGCCCTGGGGATCCTGAAGGTGAGGACAGGGCAGGACACTGGAACTGACAGACACAGAGGAGCTATCAGAGAAAATTTATGATACTGTCTTAGACTCCTACACTAGAGTCACACCAAAAATGACTGTTGCTCAGCAGCTTTACCAATAATGAAACAGTTGATTGACACACTATTTTGTATGTTATTTGTATTATATATGGTGAAAAATATGCTAAAACCATAAGAGATCACAGTTTTACTGAAATACACAATTTGCTGAAGAAAACTACCCATAAACAGATGAGGCATCACAGGACATTTTAAGTGCATACTTGGAACAACTGAGCCCTGAGCCCACAATAGCAACAGGAGATGGTTATGAAGTTATCACAGGGGAATGGTATTGCTGCAGTTGGTTATAGGCAGTTTTGATTTAATATTGCATCTTTATGTTGTTTACATTTCTCTCCACTGTGAATGGTGCCATGTACAGTCTGTGTCTGTGTTTTGATAAATTTTAACTTTTTATAATAGATTTGTGCTTATTTTGCAGAATTAAATGATAAAAATAGGCTATTACTTAAATATTTTAAGGATCCATGGCATACTTAACTTTTTCTTAATTTTTTCAATATTTCTAGGCATATGGTTCATCTGTGAGTTTTTTAAAGTTGTTGTAAATGTCAAAAAAAATTTCTCAAACAAACAGGACAAAACTCAAATCCATGTATTTGTGGACATGTATGTTTCAAGGGTCAACCATATTTGGAAATTTGGAGGAGTACTGATTCTGCGGTACTGTCTAGAGACATGGTCATTTGTTGTTCTCATCTAATTTTGTCTTACACCAATCCAACCCTCTTTGAAGCTCCTTCCACATAAAGAAAGATGTCAGCAGTTTAGCTTGAATGAGTAACCCATCTTCAAATTGCTTTTGGTTTTCCATAGCATGGATCCCTAGGAACTCTTGGGACTTATTTGTATCTCCTAGGTACCCATGAAATAGTTTTAGAATTTCTGGCTGAGATGAATTGAGATATTAACTCACTTTTCACAAAGATATTCACCACCTTGCTCTGGATGGATTCATGGCCATTGTCAGCTCTACAGTAATATTCACCAGCATCACTCTCCTTCATGGCCTGGATCTCCAGCTCTGTTGACAGGAAACCTTGGGTCTTCTTATTTCCCAGACTGTTTTCTGTGGCTTTTCTGTGCCAGGAGAATGTGATGTTTCCTGTGCCCTTAGCCACTGAGCAGAGCAGCACAAGCTTCTGTCCTTCAATTACCCATCCCCCAGGGGCCTGGGTCTCTAAGCTCACATCAGAGACTGGGATTCCTGGATAGATATAAGATAACAGGTGAGAACCCTGAGCTGGACATTCTGAAACAGACACTAGACTGATTCTAATGCAATGAGTAGGAATATGGGGATTGTGTGTGTAGTACATCATAACTATTCCTTCAGAGATAGGGAACCCACGACAATTATCTTTTAAGAATGTGGATACACTAGAAATTAATAATGAAAGACAGGACTGTAAAATTGGTACAATGTGTATAGGGGGGATACTCGTGGAAGGAGGGAGGATGAGCAAAGGAGATTAAGTGAGAGAATACTATTGATAGATTTCATTTACCTATATGAAATAGAACAATGAAACCTCTTGCAGTTGCTTGAAGTGGGACAAGGATGGAGTCCAGGGGGAGAGAAGGTGGGGGCAACCTAACCAATGTATTATATAAGCCTATTTGGAATTGTTACAATGAATCCCCCCTGTATAATGAATATATCCTAGTAAAATTTAAAAAAAAAAAAAAGAACCTGGATACAGATATTTGTATGGCCTAAGGTTGATCCTGGCTAATTTTATGGGCAACAACAGAAGAATTTGTGATGGATCATCAATTTCATAAGATAGGAAATGTTTAATTATTTTTGGATGAGTCGCTGTAAAGTCAGATGTCTTTTGCACAGAATGAATAGGGACAATGATAGCATTGGTCCTATCTCGGAAAAGACATTTTTCCTAATAGCATTTTCAATAACAATTCTTCTGTTATTCCTAACTTCAAAGCGCCCATCCAACTACTCCAGTTTATCCTGATCTCACCTTTGTCTGCTGCTCCATTTAGCCCCATACGTTGTAGTACCACATTGCCCTGGCATAAGTCAATTTGTTGTGATTCCAGCATGTGAAGCATTTGGGCAGCCACCGGAAAGCAGGTGCCTTGCCTCTTAAAGTACCTAGTCCACTGCTGAACACTGAGGCATAGTCAGTGATGAATACTTAAACAATGAATATCTCTTAAATAATTAAGAAAAGTATAAGGAGCTTAGTCCACTTCTGATTCTTATGAAGAAAGATGTGAAGAACAATTTGGAATTTCTAGCTGAGTTGACAAAGACACAAGAAGACTAGAAGTTCAAGGTGAAGTTCCAGCACTCCTGTCTTTCCCCACCCCATCCCTAAAGTCAACCCCACTGATACTTACTCTGCACATGAATCTGGTGTTGGAGACTCTGTTTTCTGGCCCTGTTACTCACTGCGATTACTTTGCACCAGTAGGAGCCTGAGTGTTCCCTCCACATGACAGGAATCTGGAGCTCTGGGGAGCTGATGCAGCCTGATCCTAGAGCCTGACCATCTCTGAAGAAGCAGAACTGGAGCTGGACATTTGACCTCTGTGGAGGGAGCTGGGTCTCACAGGTCAAGGTCACTGGGTCTCCCTCAATGGGTTGAAAGGTGCTGGCTGTCAGCATAAGATATGGAAACAGCTCTGGAGAGAAAGATCACAACAGCCACCAGAACATGAAAACCCATGAGGTTCAGGGTGCTTGCTGAAAAGCACTTGGTGAGAAGCAACTCCAGCAAACAACAGTCAGGACCAGGCACATGTCTTCCAGCACATTTCCCTAGCATGATCAAATCACAAGCATTCCAGTCCACATTTGGTCTCTGGGTAGCTTTCTCCTATAAGGTACCTACCCTGCTCTGCTTCCTGCCCAGCCCAGCTCTCACAGGAGGAAAATTTTACCTTGGACTTTGATGTTTATTATTGCTGAAGTTTTTTTCCTTTGCAGGATGTTTTTAAAAGTAGCAGTACAGTAATATTCACCACTGTCACTCAAAACTACATTTTGTATAGGGAAGCTTGAGGCTTGTCTTGAATAAAATAACAATCTTTTATCCTTATAGTAAGTCATCAACTTGATTTTTGAGGTTTGTTCTTCCTGGCATTTCAGAAATATGCTGTCTCCTTCAAAGACAGAAGAAGGTGCCAGGAGGGTCAGTCCATCTGCAAAAGATGAAGAGAAATTGGATTTACTATTTCTGAAGAAAGCCCAGATGTCTCACTCTGCTCTTGGGCAGTGAGTGGTCAGGCATATAGCCTCTACATCTTTAGACAGAATGGAGGTGGCAACCCATGCCTTAATTGCTCAGGGCTGCATCCCATTTCTCCTGAGGGGGTATCTTAGCCCAGACTGCTATCAGAAAATGTCATAGGCAGAGTGGCTCATTAACAATGGAAATTTATTTCTCACAGATCTGAAAGTTGGAAGCCCAAGTTCAGGGTGCCAATGTCATTTGCCTCTGGTGAGGGCCTTTTCCAGGCTGTAGACTGCTGACTTCCCGTTATGTCCTCATACGTCAAGAAAATAGATATCTAGCTCTCTGGTCCCATCTTACAAGGGCATTCATGCATTCACAAGGGCTCCAACCTCATGATCTAATTACTTCCCAAAGTCCTTCCTTCCCCAAACCATCATATATAAATTGCATATAATTTTGGTGGTGGGTTGGAACGACACAAACGTTCAGTCCATTTCAGGAAATGTCAAGGTAAGCCAAACTTTTCATATGGATGAGGGAGTGTTCTGAAAAAGCTCTACATCCTAAGCAGTCTCTATTGGTAATATCATATGGAGGACCATCGTCCTAAGTGGGCAGTCTAATTCCCACCCTTCCATGTCTCCCTTTGGCTCTAGAGACACTACACTATTATAAATTCAGGTCCTCTCCCTTCTTCTTGTCTCACCGGATGGACCACCAAGTGACCTGGATTCCTGGGTCACTCCTTATTCCAATTACTGGAATAAGGTCTGGTACCTTTAATTCTCAGAAGTTTTCATTTGAAGGCCAGACACTGTGGCTCATGCTTATAATTCCAACTACTTGGGAGGCAGAGTTTGGGAGGCTTGAGGTTTCAGGCCAATCTGAGCAAAAAGTTAGCTGGACCTCCATCACAACAGACAAGCCAGGCATAGATGAAATCCTAGCTATGTGGAAGGCATAGGTAAAAGGACTGAAATTCAAGGCTGGCCCCAGACAAAAAGCTCAAGACTCTGTATGAAAAATAACTAAAGCAAAAAGGGCTGAAGATGTGGATCAAGTGGTAGAATGACTCCCTAACAAATGCGAGGTCCTGAGTTTAAACCTCGGGATCATCAATAAAGTTTCTATTTGAATATTTTTAGAATATTTTTTCTGTTCCTTCAATGCATAACCCAAGGTTCAGTTCCTAAGGTTTAATTGCATTGAAAAAAACAAAAGTCAACTGTGCTCTCCAGGGCCCTCTCCTTAGATGAGTCCGAGGTTCTCTAATTTCTATCCTGGCACTTCATTGGCTTATGGTACCAGAACCTGTTCTGTTTGTGACATTGCCATTATATTTTAGGATTACAGTTAAGGACTTTGACTCAAGGTAAAGAACTAAACTATATCTCAAGTAAACAAATTTCCCAGTCCTGTTCAGTTGTCTCATGACTGCCAGGATATGGGTGTGTAGTGGAAGGAAGCAGAAGCCAATCTTGTAAGAAATGTGATGGTTCATAAAATACCAATGAAGAATCAGAGCCAAAATACCACAAGAAGTAGGGACTTCAGTAAACCTATAAATCATGACATTGGAGCCTCATTAATGGGATGATAATTTTAGGAAACTATATGGTTTGTTACTGACTATTCCAGGAAAGCCAGAATCCCTGTTAGATGCTAGGAGACAATCTTCTTTCAAACATTGAAATGGTAGGGACAGAAAAGTTGGGCTTAAATGTACACATTTATGGGGTATTGTGCAATATTTCAATACATGTTTATATTATGCAGTGTTTGTATCAGAGTAATCATTTTTTGAGACAGGTTCTCACTGTGTAGCTCAGGCTACACTCCAACTCATGATCTTCCTGCCTCAGTCTCCCAAGTGCTGGGATTATAGACATGAGCCACCAAGCTTGGCTGTGCATCATTTCTTTTAGACTACAAGTACATTCTTCATGTAGAAACTGGAAACATTACTAGGGAGAACGCTATTGAGGATAGGAAGGAAACATCTGGGTCCTGGTTAGAGATATTTCTGTTAAGTATCACAAAGCAGTCTCACAGGCTCTGGGAACTGCTAAGCAATACCTTGGGTCAGTAAGCTCATGATCTCAAACTCCTTCAGAGGCAGAACATCCCCAGGAGAAAGGCATGGAGTGGAGAGTAGCAGGAACTAGATAGTGCTGAATCTGCAACCAGCAATTAGTAGCTGCAGGGTGAGATGACTTTAGGGGAATCCACTGGGAGAAAGGGACATGGAGCTTGGAGATTCGGAAGAAAATTTGCGGTGAGGGTGATTCATTGCCAAGGATTACTGATTAATTTGGGTTCTCAAAATGTTTAACTTAATTGTTAAGAGCAAGGTCACATTGTTTTGAGTCCAACTCTGCTACTTATTAGCTGAATGATCTTAAACAAAGCACTTTACCTTTCTGTACCTCAGTTTGCTCATCTGAGAAATGGAACAATGAATAACATTTGCTTTTCTAGGGCTTTTAAAGAATTTTATGAGATAAATATAGAACCATGCTTGCATATATGTACCACTCAGTTAACTATGAACGTTCGCAACCTTGATGTTGTGAATGTCTTTGTTACTGAAGCAATGATGTCTGAGGGAGAACAAGAGGTCATCGTGACTGCACTTCAAGAGCAACAAAAGAATGGGCTTTGAGTCTGTGAGATGGGGTGGAGGTAGGGAGCCTGAAGGGATGAAGGTGACTTGAAGTCAAAGTCACTGAGCATAACATCCTGGGGAGCTGACTTAAGTAGAGCAAATAAACAGGACCAAAAAGACTTAACAGAGGGCAAGATATACAGAACTGAAGAATTTTTTGCAAGAATTTGAGGGAAAATTTTCACTAGCACTATAGTGTGAACAAAATGCAAACAATATCTCTCAGAGGTTTGCATGGCAGGGGTAGGTGGTGAGTACAGGGTATGGGTGGAGCTATAAGGAAGAAATGAGAGAGAAGGGCTACACTGAGGTCATGAATGGAGAGAAAAAAAGACATTTTCAGCTGCTGTACTAAATGGCATTTTCATACCTGGCAGAGAAGTGTAATTCTTGACAGGTCAGAGATTTCACTAGAGACAAGACTGGATTTCAGAGGCCAGGTGATGGCCCAGCCCACAAAGCAGGGGTACAATGAAATCATGGTTTAAATCTGGTCTTTTAGGCTCTGTAACTCCTGCTCTTTTCACTACATCATATTAAACCAAGGTCTTTTTTATCCCTCTTTGTTAAGGGAGAGCTCTCAAAATTATAAGGAACATCCAGCTTTCTGAGAAGAGGGAAAGGAAAGATGGTAATGTGGCTGTTGTAGTGCTCTCTGAATGCTGTGCATGACTGACTGGGGGAGCCTGACTCCCATCACGCTGAATAAAAGCATGATTTCCACTTCTGGTCGAAAATCAGCTAAGTGCTAACTGAGGCTTCCCCTAATTTCCACCGAAATAGGAAGTGAAGTGATGGGTATCATAATGCAGGGGTCAGGGAATTTACTTGGTACAGAATTAACACAAACAGATGAGACTTGCTCCTAAATTCATCTCAGGCCTTGACTTCTAAGGTATCTTTGGACGTTTCTGTTCCATTCAAGGTGAGACAAGATCTACTTACTCCAGCATAGTTCCTCAGAGTCCAAAGAGGCCCTTCCACTTCCACTTCCACTAGATGGCTAGCATTGGATAGGTAAGGGAACAAATCTCACTTTTTTTTTAGATTTAGTCTTGGCTCATGTGGAAATTCTGAATGTAGAATAAAATATTTTTCTCATCTACTTCCTTTACTGAGCACAGCTTTAAGTCAAAAAGAGTGAGATAAGCTGGGTACTGGTAACTTATGTCTATAATATTAACTATTGGGAGGATGAGATTAGGAGGATCTCTGTTAGAGGCCAGCCTGGGAAAATAATTTCTGAGACCACCATCTTCAAAATTACTGGAGCAAAATGGACTGGAGGTCTGGCTCAAGTGGTAGAGTCCCTGCTTTGCAAGTGTGAAGTCCTGAGTTCAAACTCCAGTTTCACCAAAAAAAAAAAAGAATGAATGAATGAAATGAAATTAGTTTTAGTCACACAACTTTAGGAGAGTAACACATGCATTTTAAAAATTCAGAAGTAATGAATCTAGGCAAACTATAACCTGTGGACTGGCTGGTGTCCTGTTTTGGTCAATAAAGTGCCATTGGAAGACAGGTGAGTCCCTTCACTTACATATGGTTCATAGTGGCTTTCCTTCTAGGAAGACAGAGCTGACCAGTTAACTTGGAGACATAAAAAAAGACCTGAAAATTATTCATTCTCTGGTCTTACTGAATTTTTCTGACTTCTGACCTAGAGCTAAAGAAGCAACCATGGCATGTGCTGACTCTGACCATGCAGAAATGTTTAGCCCTGAACTTTCCTCTGTGAATAACTGTTTTTAGAGCTGCGAGGATGCTGGGCCTTTACTCAGAGGGTGTTAAGGAGTTACAGTCCTGTGGGCAGGAAAGCACTTCTCTCCAAACCAATCTTCCATCCGGTCTGCAGGTCCCCTTTTAGATGTTACTTCCTGCACCTGGGCTCTTAACGAGAAGGCTAGGTGATGCCCATCACCCAGGCAAGCAGGAAGTGTCAGAGCAGAGGCTGTGTGACCAACTGCAGGGTATGTTGGCCCAAGGGAGCAATAACTACCGAACATCTCCACAGTCTTCCTATTGGACCCTATAGTGGCCAGTGAGTGACACGCCAGGTACTGAAAACAACAAAGACAAAGAAGACTCACCCGTCTGTTCACTGAATGAAGCTGTGAGGGGAGCAAAAGTCAGAGGTTAGAACAGAGCATTTGTTTTCATAATTTAGAAATTTAGATTACTCTGATAAGTGGCTCAAAAAGTTCTTCCCGTCTTTCTTTTTCTATCCTTGTACTCTCTTAAAACTAAAATTTCAATCACCCTCAAATATACAATTAACCTTTATTAGTTGTATCAGTACAAGTCAATTTTTAAAACTATAACTTGACCAAAGGGATTGCCAGGAACAAGTATCATGGATGTTGAATATTTAGTAATTCTGCCCAATATTTTGTTTTCCTTCTCCTCACCTTAGAACCCTTCCTCACTTCCAAGTGGTAGACATGCTGCAACATGGCAACACAGTCATAAGAATCAAAGAATTCATCAGGAAACACATGAGAGTTGAACTCACTCTAAATTAACTCCTTACCTTGGGTCATATTTTTTGTTAGAACCCCTTTCCTCCAATAATAAAATATTTACTTAGTGCCTAATAAACTAGAGAAAAGAATCTTGTTTCCTAGCAGCAGCCCTTGTCTTCCTCAAAGTGTGTGATTTAACAGAGGAGCCCTAGCAAAGGGGATCAATGTATTTTCTAAACTCAAATCTTACAGATAATTAGTTTTCATGGAAAAGAGAGGAAATATTAAGTATTGAAATTATGAATATTTTACTTATGAGAATATCATATTATTTAATCAGACCTAAGATATCAAAGCATAAATTCATGATCAACCAATGGTAGTGGCCTGCCTTGACAAGAAAGGATTAAGATACACTGCAATTTCATGTTCTGTGTCCCCAGCTTTGCATCTGCTTCTAAAGCTGAAGCTAGAAATGGACACCTGAGCATTCCCACTGTTCTCTGGGCTCTGATAAAGCCCCAGACCTTTCAGGAGTTGGAGATCTCTTCCTGTGGCCATCTCTGTTCTAACTCAGATTATTGAACTCACCAAAGATGATCAGCAATGACCACAGCAGCATGAGGACTTGATCCAGGTGTTTTAGAAGAAGTATTCTCTCAGCCACCATCTGAGACCTGTGAGCACAGAATGAAAAGAGCCTTTCAGAATATGTTTTTGTATAATTAGAAAAAAAAGGAAGTAGAACAGCCCTGTGATGTTTGACCACTATCTTTTGTCCTGTGGATACTAAGAGAATTAGAGATGATCCTCTCAATGCCAGAGAAAGTTCACATCTTTGCATTAATGAGGATAGCTAACACTTGTGTACAGCTCTTCACGAGCTGAACACAATTCTGAGTGCCTTATAGTTAGTTACTAAATACCCTCAGCAAGCTTTTAAGGTCAGCACTGCTCCCTTTATACAATTTTGAAAAGTGAGGCACTTTATAAAGGCCAGTGTCTTAGTCTATTTGGGCTGCTATTGCAACATATGTTAGACTGAGTAATTTACAAACAACATTGCTCACTTTCAGAAGGCTGGGAAGTCTAAGTTCAAGGACCAGCAGATTTGGTGTCTGCTGACATTGAGCCTGTTTCTCATGGATGGTGACTTCTCGTATCTCACATGGTGGAAGAGGCAAATAAATTCCCTCAAGCCTTTTTTATAGGAGCACTAATCTCATTCATGAGAGTTATACCTTCATGATCTAATTACCACCTAGAGGTCCTACCTCTTAATTCTATTGTATTGGGGATTAATTATCAACATAAGGAATTGAAGGTAAGTTAAACATGATCACTTTCTAGTAATAACAGAGCTGGGATTCAAACCCAGGCAATCTAGCTCCATAGTCCAGCTCTTAAGTACTGAAGTTACTGTGGTACATTACTTCTCTGTATTGTTTAAAGTAACAAGGCCATTGTTTCAAAGGCCGATTTATTAGGTGAGATTTTCCTTGGGCAGTTTTTTATTTTTCTACAATGGGGTTTTGTTTTATTTCATATTATTTATTTATTTTTCTAGTGGTGCTGGGGTTCAAACTCAGGGCCTCACACTTGCTAGGCAGGTGTTCTACCACTTGAACCACTCCACCAGTCCTAGAATGGGATTTTTACTAAGCTTACAAGCACTTGCTCTATACCGTTTAAAACAGTTTTTTCACGTGAGACCCTGAATTCAAGCCCCAGTACCACCAAAAAACCAAAAAAAATTGTCTCTTTTCCCGTTTATAGTCTATATTGCTTTTTGCCCCATAAGCTGATCTAATGTAGCTGTCCCCTGCAAAGAAAAGCATGCATCAGGGCAGAACCCATTATCACTCTCATTCTGATTACATGCAGTCCCCATAAATGTTATACACAGCATTCCACTTTCTACAACCACATAGTCAACCACAGTCCAAAAATATTAATGGAAGATTCCAGAAATAATTTATAAGTTTTAAATAATGTTTATTACAGCATAAAGTTGTAATTGTTCTATTTTATCATTAGTTTTTGTTAATCTCTTGTGCCTAATTTATAAATTAAAGTTAATTATAGACATGTATATTTGGAAAAAGTCAGTACATATAGAGTTTGATACTATTGGTAGTTTCAGGCATCTACTGAGGTTCTTGAAATGTATCTTCCATGGATAAGAGAAGAGTCCACTGTACAACACCTTCACAGGATTAGTGTCCAGTTAGATGCAAGTTACCTTTTTGGATCTTATGCAGCATGAAACTTTAAATCACAAAATCATAACTTGGCTATTGTGAATAGTGCTGCAATAAACATGGGTGTGCAGTTGCCTCTGAGTAACCTGTGTCACAGTCTTTTGGGTATATCCCCAAGAGGGGTATTGCTGGATCAAATGGTAGATCAATGTTTAGCTTTTTAAGAAGCCTCCAAATTTTTTTCCAGAGTGGTTTTACTAGTTTACATTCCCACCAACAGTGTAAGAGGGTTCCTTTTTCCCCTGCATCCTTGCCAACACCTGTTGGTGGTGATGTTGCTAATGATGGCTATTCTAACAGGGGTGAGGTGGATTCTTAGCGTGGTTTTAATTTGCATTTCCTTTATTGCTAGATATAGTGCAATAGCCAAGTTAGGGAAACAGCCAAGATGCCCCACTACTGATGAATGGCTCAAGAAAATGTGGTATCTATACACAATGGAATTTTATGCAGCCATGAAGAAGAACAAAATGTTATCATTCCCTGGTAAATGGATGGAATTGGAGAACATCATTCTGAGTGAGGTTAGCCTGGCCCAAAAGACAAAAAATCGTATGTTCTCCCTCATATGCGGACATTAGATCAAGGGCAAACACAACAAGGGGATTGGACTTTGAGCACATGATAAAAGCAAGAGCACACAAGGGAGGGGTGAGGATAGGTAAGACACCTAAAAAACTAGCTAGCATTTGTTGCCCTTAATGCAGAGAAACTAAAGCAGATACCTTAAAAGCAACTGAGGCCAATAGGAGAAGGGGACCAGGAACTAGAGAAAAGGTGAGATCAAAAATAATTAACCTAGAAGGTAACACACATGCACAGGAAATTTATGTGTGTCAACTCCCGGTATAGCTATCCTTATCTCAACCAACAAAAACCCTTGTTCCTTCCTATTATTGCTTATATTCTCTCTTCAACAAAATTAGAGATAAGGGCAAAATAGTTTCTGCTGGGTATCGAGGGGGTTGGGGGGAGAGGAAGGGGGCGGAGTGGGTGGTAAGGGAGGGGGTGGGGGCAGGGAGGAGAAATGACCCAAGCATTGTATGCACATATGAATAATAAAACAATAAAAATTTTTAAAAAATCACAAAATCATAGGTGGAGACTGACCGATAGTGAAGTTTTCACAGGCTAAATTGCATATGTTCAGATAAATATTTGACATTTTATTACTCACTATATGTAGTTTAACTGGGGGAATGTGGATGCTTCTTTATGATGCACATCATAGACTTTCTTATAATTATATAAAAAGAAAATACTAAAAATACTCAATGAGGGAAGATTACAAATAAATGATGTGTCAAAATTATGTGGAATGACAAGTAGATATTAAAAATGATTCTGTAGAATAATAATAGTAAAATAAGATGCTTATGATATACAGTTAAAAGAAAAGTAGCTACAGAATGCAATTTATCTGCTGAACATCACCCACCCTGCCTGGAAAAAGGTGTCTGGGACAGTAAACACCAAAATGTTAATGTAATTATAGCTGAATAATGGAATTAAATGTGATTTTTATTTTTCTCATTTTTCTTATTAGTTATTTCCACTGTTCTTACAATAAATGTATGTAATTTATGTATTTTTGAAGGGTTCATAGAAAATAAGCCCTGTGTTTTATGGCTTCACTCACCTCAAAGTGCACCAAGCAATGCCACTTTAACTTTCTGCATAAGCAAATGGATGACAGACATTTGTAAGAGAGGAAATTGTTTTTTCCCTGGAGCTAAAGCTGTCACTGACCTTTTCATCAAGGCCTGCCTGCCAATGGACTTCTAGGTAGTCTATAATTCCTTTCAATCTCGCCATCCAAGAGGCACAGGACTCTGATAGATAGAAAGGAGTAGAGAGAGAAGTATTCAGAAGATGGACTGGATTTGATGGTAAGTACATGTTTTTCATAGACATCTGAGAAGATTTGTTCAAACTACTGATGTCCTTGCACTGACTTTGATATGCCATCTATAGAAATGTGGCCTGTTCCCCTGAGAATTAATATTTCCAAGGTATTACCAAATAGTATGAGGTTTAATTCAGGGTTAATTTTAAAATAAGTGTTGGGTAGAAAAGAGAAATAGTTTTAGACACTAAACACTATTTATACTATTGTAGTGTGGTGGATAGGACACAAGAATGGCAACAGGTTTTTCAAGATTTTCATTCTGCATGTAGCTACTGCTATGTATTTGACAGATAGTACACATTTACAGGAAGATGGACATAACTTGGAAGTATACCTAAACTTGCATGCAAACGAGGGACCACAACCCCAACTAAGAGGCTTAGCATTTCCTTGTGGGGGGTAACTTAATGATTACGGTTGTGGTCAAGGAGTGGGATTGTATGTACTTGAGAGATAATAATGTTCTTTATGCAAAGATACTTAGTTACCAACAGGATGGAGTTACAGAGTTTAGAGGGAAGCAGCATTAGATAGACATGTAAAACTCCTTTAGATCCACCAGACAGACTTTTAACTTGGAGATTCATACTGAAGAATAGTCTGCCAGATTCAGAGGAACAATCTTATCTGCGAATCATGTTCAATCTCTTAAATGAGGTACAAAATATAGTGCCAAGTTGGGGCACACCAGGATTGAAACAGAAACAAATACAGTCTTTATTAAATACAAGTCAAAATAAAATAAATCAAATCTCCCACTTGATGAATTGATAACTAGGGATTTTATTTTTTTTTCATTTTTCCTTTATTATTCATATGTGCATACAAGGCTTGGGTCATTTCTCCCCCCTGCCCCCACCCCCTCCCTTACCATCCACTCCACCCCCTCCCTCTCCCCCCCCCCAATACCCAGCACAAACTATTTTGCCCTTATTTCTAATTTTGTTGTAGAGAGAGTATAAGCAATAATAGGAAGGAACAAGGGTTTTTGCTGGTTGAGATAAGGATAGCTATACAGGGCATTGACTCACATTGATTTCCTGTGCGTGGGTGTTACCTTCTAGGTTAATTCTTTTTGATCTAACCTTTTCTCTAGTTCCTGTCCCCTTTTCCTATTGGCCTCAGTTGCTTTAAGGTATCTGCTTTAGTTTCTCTGCATTAAGGGCAACAAATGCTAGCTAGTTTTTTAGGTGTCTTACCTATCCTCACCCCTCCCTTGTGTGCTCTCGCTTTTATCATGTGCTCATAGTCCAATCCCCTTGTTGTGTTTGCCCTTGATCTAATGTCCACATATGAGGGAGAACATACGATTTTTGGTCTTTTGGGCCAGGCTAACCTCACTCAGAATGATGTTCTCCAATTCCATCCATTTACCAGCGAATGATAACATTTCGTTCTTCTTCATGGCTGCATAAAATTCCATTGTGTATAGATACCACATTTTCTTAATCC